AAAAAAAAAAAAAAAAAAACATGATCCTGAGAAATTCTTCACCAGCCTATCATAGCCACCTTGAGCTCAAAATGGTTAAGAACCGTTGATGCTGGAAGACCACCAAAAAAACTGAAAAATAAGGGCAGGTTATAATTGGTGGCCACAGCAGTGGTGGGCTAAGGGTACCCAAGTTTGGCTAAGAGAATTGTATTTTGTTTTATTTTAAGCTGTAATGGAGACCCTGGAAGGTGGGGAAAAATTCAAACAAGCGAAAGGCTCATCTTGAATCCCCGGAGCCCCCCATGCAAATCTCTGAAATCCGTGTCCCCAGCCTCCAGAAAGCCACATACTCTGAATTTACAAAGCAAAACCATGGGGTCTACATGTCGACAGGAAGGGGGAACCACTGACAACTCAGACCCCCAGACCGGTCCGCTGCTCTCGTTGGGACTTGTCCCTCCCTACTCACAATGCTTCACACAGGAAAGATGCCCACTCAGCTCTCGCTTAGTCCCTGAGGGAGTTTCTGGAGTTCATATATTAATAATAAAAATAACCACGGATTCTTATCTAGCCTTTACTCTGGGCCAGTGTTCCTAGCATGAAATTTCATGCAACAACTCGTTTAATCCTCACATGGGCCCTTGCGATATATACTGTTGTCACCTTTTAACCGACGAAAGAGCCAAGGTCCAGCGAGGTTGAGTAACCCACCTAGGGCGCACAGCTCAGACGCAGCACTGTAGTTCCAGGATTTTGATTTTGTGTCTTCAAGATGCGTGAGGCTTGGGGTGAGGTGGGGGTCCGAGGAGGCGTCAGGAGACTGAGCTTGAAGAGGAAGGAGCCGGAGCCTGAAGGAATTTCCAGGAAGATGATGTGGTGCCGTCAGAAAGGATGGGGAATCCCCCCGGTGTCAGGACACCTGGGTACCTCGGAATCAGATAGAGTCAAGGGTGGGGCCAGTGTAGGTTACCCTGGGGGCTCCGCAGCTGGGGGTTGGGGCTCCCAGGGGACAAGCGCAATCTTACCTGTCCAGGCGCTCACCTGGTGGCCGGCTTGAAGGTGACGGCGGCCTACCAAGCCTTCCTGGGTCCCCCTTCATGCGCCCCGCCCTGGGGGGTGGGTGGGCGTGGGGTGCTCGAGACCGGCCAGACCTGTGGGACCCGGGGCCCCGGCTGTCTTGGGAGCCCGTCACCCCGAGGCGACCTGCTCTTCCGGGGCTGGGACGGCTGTAGGCGGCGGGAGGCCTTGGCACCTACAAACTCATAAATACCACGGCAGCGCTGGTGGCTGGAGAGGCGCATTCGGGCAGCCGGCGCCCTGGAGGGTGAGCCGGGGTACCCGAGGGCGACCCTCGCCCCAGCTCCCGGCCTCTGGGGGGAAGGTCCCGACCCGGCTCCACCCACCCGGGCAGGTTCGGGGAGAACTGGAGACGGTGGAGCCCGCGGGGAAGGGCTGGGAACAAGGGGCGTGTGCATGCAGGTGCCGGGCTGGGGCGTCCGCCCGAGCGCTGGAGGTGGTGGCGGGAGGGCAGGAGCGCTAAAGGCTGGCTGGGTGCTGGGTGGGGGTGAGGAGAAGGAATCCAGCCACTCCAGCCTGATGGACTCAAGGATCGGTGATGGAGCGGGAGGATTGAGGGTCACTAAGATCAAAATGGGCTGCTGAGCAGGGAGCAGAGAGCGGTGAGCAGTAGCAGACAGCAGCAGGTGGAACGCTGAGAATCTGAGGAATACGGTGGGAAAAACTGGGACTGTTGAAGCAGGATGGAATGCTGGGAGTTGAGGGGATCGCCAAAGGCAAATGGCTACCCCCCCCCCACCCCCTTCCCGGCTACCTTTGGTCTGAGGGTGAGCTGTGGTTAAAAGCAAAGCTGAGGAATCAGGCCACCTGGGTCCGAATGCTGGCTCCATCACATCCTAGCCCTGCAACTGAATCACTCAGTTACTCAGTTTCCTCACCTGTGATACAGGGATGATGAGCACAGGCGCCACCACCTCATAGCAAGGTCGTGAGGCTTCTGGGACTCAATCCATGCACAGTGCCTAGCTTTGCTAATCCATAGCCATCGTTATTTCTGTTTACTCTCCACAGCGCCTGGATAACCACCGGTCCTTGAAGACCTCCTTGTCATCCTGCCGCCACCCTCCTCCGCACTGCCAGATCTTCTTTTACTCCCTCCTCCCAGCCCTTCCTGCTGTACCTGAGGAATCTCATCCATTCAGTCCCCCTCCTTCTCTCTGTCCCCACAGTCCCCCTACCATGTGTTCCCTTCTGGGCTGGGGCTTCCTGTGCTGTCTGCTCCTGCTATTCTCCTCTGGAGTCCAGGGGGCCCCAGGGACTCCCAGTGCTGCCCCAGAGCAAGTCCATCTGTCTTACCCAGGTAAGTGTCCATGACCCTCCCTGTGCCTCTCCCAGAGAGGCCCAGTGCTGCTTCTTGGTATTGATTGCTGTGGAACCTAGGCTGGTATTCTTCTTGAGCCTCGGTTGTCCTCCTCTGTGAAATGGGAAAGACAGCATTGTAGCGATACATCTAGTTGTGTGGGAAGTGATTGTGATGCCCAGCCCAGTGAGTGCCCTCTTGTTCTCAAAGGGGGACAGCTTTTGTCCTTGCTCATTTATGTCTCTTCAGGTCCTACACACAGGTTAGTGCACAGTAGGCCTTCAAATCAGTTGTGGAAGAAACCAGTGAATGAATGATTACAACACTAGAATGCCCAGCCCTTCCTCCTTCCTTCTTCTCTTCCTTCCCATGGGCTGCCTCCTGATCATGGATAGAGAGGTGGTGGCGCCCTGAGGTGTGCTGTGCAGGTAGAGCTTGACCTGTGGAATCTCCACATCCAGATTTCCTGGCTTAGAATTCCAGTTTTGCTGCTTATTTGCTGTGTGATCTCGGGCAAGTGACTTAACCCCTCTGGTCTTAGTCTCTTCATCTGGACAGTGAGTAATATTAGCTCAACTTTCCGCAAAGGAGGTGAGGAGGGTGAGGAATAAATGAGTTGCTACCAGTGTAAAGACAGAACTGAGCTTGGTGTGGAGCTGAGTTTCTCATATGTTTTGGTCTCAGGACTCTTTTTTTTTTTTTTGAGAGAGAGAGAGTTTCACTCTATCACCCTGGGTAGAGTGCTGTGGAATCATAGCTCACAGCAACCTCAAACTCTCAGGTTCAAGTGATCCTCTTGCCTCAGCCACAACACTTAGCTAATTTTTCTAATTTTTTTTTTTTTTTTTTTTTTTTTTTTTGAGACAGAGCCTCAAGCTGTCCCCCTGGGTAGAGTGCTATGGCATTACAGCTCACAGCAACCTCCAACTCCTGGGCTCAAGCGAGTCTCCTGCCTCCGCCTCCCAAGTAGCTGGGACCATAGGCGCCCGCCACAACGCCCGGCTATTTTTTGGTTGCAGCCGTCATTGTTGTTTGGCGGGTCCGGGCTGGGGATTTGAACCCGCCACCTTAGGTGTACGTGGCTGGCGCCTTAGCTGGTTGAGCTATAGGCGCCGAGCCAATTTTTCTAATTTTTATTAGAGACAGGGTATCTCAGACTCCTTTACATTGCTAAAAATTACTGAGAACCTCAAAGAGCTGTAGTGTACATCTATCAATAGTTACCTATTAGAAATTAAAACTGTCATTTAAAAATATTTATTGTTGGCTCAGTGCCTGTAGCACAGTGGTTATGGTGCTGGCCACATACACTGAGGCTGGTGGGTTCAAACTCAGCCCAGGCCAGCTAAACAATGACAACCGCAACAACAAGAAAAAAATAGCCAGCGTTGTGGCAGGCACCTGTAGTCCCAGCTACTTGGGAGGCTGAGGCAAAAGAATTGCTTAAGCCCAAGAGTTGGAGATTGCTGTGAGCTGTGACGCCATGGCACCCTACCAAGGGTGACATAAGAAGACTCTGTCTCAAAAAAAAAAGTTATTGTCATTTAAAATGAACAATAATAGGCTGGATACAATGGCTTGTTCTGTAATGCCAGCACTTTGGGAGGCCTAGGGGGAGGATTGCTTGAGCCCAGGAATTTGAGACCTGTCTGGGTAACAGCAGTGAGACATAGTCACCGCTACAGAAAAGTCTTTTAAAAATATATTAGCAATAACAAATCTTTTCTGTATTAATGTTAAATGACATTTCAAATGAAAAATAACTATACTTGGCATATGAAGAAATTTCGGGAGGAGAGTGCCATTGATTTACATCTTTTCAAATCTCTTTCATAGACATGGCTTAATGGGCAAAAGCAGAGTCGTTCCCAGAACTGCTCCTGCTTCAGTTTGTTGTTCTATGTTGTTCTTAGTAGGTGTTTCAGGTAATTGTGGCTTTTATTCTTTGATACTACACTAAAACTCAACACATGGCTGTTAACTTCTTTTAATTTTTAAGCTTTTTATTTGGAAATAATTTGACTTATACATGAGTTCTGAACATAGTACAGAGTCAGTCCCTTTCATCTCTTACATAACTGGGATACTGTTGTCAAAGCTAAGAAATTAATACTGGTAATGATATTATTAACTAGACTTTGAATTTCACCAACTTCATCACTAACGTGTTTATCGTAATCCATGACTGCACGTTGCATTTAGTCTCCTCCTTTGTATGTGTGATGGTTCCTCAGTGTTTCCTTATCTTTCCTTATTTTTCATGTCTTTGACACTTTTAAAGATAGTTTCTTTCTTTCCTTCTTTCTCTCCTCCCTTCCTTCCTTTTATTTATTTATTTATTTATTTGAAAAAGAGTCTCACTTTGTTGCCCCCGGTAGAATGCACTGGCATCACAGCTCACAGCAACCTCAAACTCTTGGGCTTAAGCGATTCTCTTGCCTCAGCCTCCCGAGTAGCTGGGACTATAGGCACCTACCACAATACCCGGCTATTTTTTTTTGAGATGGGATCTCGTTCTTGCTCAGGCTGGTCTCAAACCCGTGAGCTCAGAGCAATCCACCTGTCCCAGCCTCCCAGAGTGCAAGGATTATAGATGTGAGCCACCTTTTTTTCTTTTAGACAGAGTCTCACTCAGTTGCCTTGGGTAGAGTACTGTGGTATCATAGTTCACAGCAACCTCCAACTCTTGGGCTCAAGCCATCCTCTTGTCTCAGCCTCCTGAGTAGCTAGGACTACAGGTGCCCACTGTAACACCCGGCTAGTATTTCCATTTTTAATTTTATTTATTTATTTTTATTTTATTTTATTGTTATTTATTTATTTTGAGACAGAGTTTCATTTTGTCACCCTTGGTAAAGTGCTGTGGCATCATAGCTCACGTAGCTCACCTCTAACTCTTGGGCTCAAGCAATTCTCTTGCCTCAGCCTCCCGAGTAGCTGGGAACAATGCTTGGCTATTTTTAGAGATGAGGTCTTGCTCTAGCTCAGGCTGGTCTCGAACTCGTGAGCTCAGGTGATCTGCTCACCTTAGCCTCCCAGAGTGGTGGGATTACAGGTATGAGTCACAGAGCCCAGCTCTTATTTCTATTTTTTAGTTGAGACGGGGTCTTGCTTGTGGTCAGTCTGGTCTTGAACACCTGACCTCAGGCAATTCACTCAAATTGGTCTCCCAGAATGCTAGGATTACAGCCCCTGAACCATTGTGCTTGGCTAGAAGATAGTTTCTTAAAGGTTAATTGCAATGTGGAATCAGAAACCACGTCAATGAAATGGCTTGGATGTTTGGCCAAGTGACCTTGAACAAAGGGCTTTGCCTGGAGGCTTCTATAAAATAGGAAAGATGGGAAAACCCATCTCATGGCCCTACTGTGAAAATCCAGTCAGATCATAGCTGTCCTTTTTTGGCCTATACAATAATAATAGCAAATATATTCTTACTAAGTGCTTTAGATGGATGGACACCTTATTTAACTTTAAATACCTACAGTTTAACAAGAATAAAACTGTGTCTAACAGAGGCGAAGAGTCTGGACCCAGATCATATAGACTGGGATTTGACTGCAGTAGGCTGCTCAAAGAGTCTACCACCTTTATTTTTTTTTTCTTTTTTTGAGACAGAGTCTCACTATGTTGCTCTCAATAGAGTATCGTGGCTTCACAGCTCACAGCAACCTCAAACTCTTGGGCTTAAGTGATTCTCTTGCCTCAGCCTCCCAAGTAGCTGGGACTACAGGTGTCCACCACAACGCCCGGCTATTTTTTGGTTGTAGTTGTCATTGTTTTTTGACAGGCCCGGACTGGTTCAAACCCACCAGCTCCAGTGTATGTGGCTGGAGTCCTAGCTGCAGTGCTACAGATGCCAAGTCTGATCTTTGTTTTAAAACTTTTTTTTTTTTTGAGATAGTCTTATTGTTGCCCAGGCTAAAGTGCCATGGCGTTAGCCTAGCTCACCGCAACCTTAAACTCTTGAGTTCAAAAGATCCTCTTGCCTCAGCCTCCCAAGTAGCTGGAACTGCAGGTACCTGCCACAACTCCTAGCTAATTTCTTCTATTTTTGGTAGAATTGAGACCTCACTCTTGCTCAGGCTGGTCTTGAACTCCTGAGCTCAGGGATCCTCCTGCCTGGGCCTTCTAGAGTACTAGGAATATAGGAATAAGCCACTGTCCCCAGTGGCTTTTAATTAAAACTTTTAATTTTGTATTAATTTTACATTTAGCAGAAAAATTCAAAAATATTGCAGTTTCTATCTTCCCCTCAGTCAGTTTCTCCTGATGTTAATCTTATGTAACTGTAGCATAATGATTGAAACCAGAAAATCAAGATTGGTACAATACTCTTTCTTTTTTTTTTTTTTTTTGCCCTGCCCTATAACCCCTTTTTTTTTGAGACAGAGCCTCAAGCTGTCCCCCTGGGTAGAGTGCCATGGCTTTACAGCTCACAACAACCTCCAACTCCTGGGCTCAAGCAATTCTCCTGCCTCCACCTCCCAAGTAGCTGGGGCCACAGGCACCTGCCATAACACCTGGCTATTCTTTGGTTGCAGCCGTCATTGTTGTTTTGGCAGGCCTGAGTTGGATTTGAACCTGCTACCTTAGGTGTATGTGGCTGGCGCCTTAGCCACTTGAGCCACAGGCACTGAGCCTGGTATAATACTCTTAACTGAACTGAAGACCTTATTTGAATTTCACTGTTTTCTCACAAATGTCGATTTCTGTTTTAGGAGCCAGCCCAGGATCTCACACTGCATTGATTGTGCCCTCATAGTTTCCTCCAATCTGTCAGTTTCTCAGTCTTCGCTTATTTCCCATGATTTTGGTATTTTTAAGTACCGATCAGTTATTTTGTTGGAAATCATTTTAGGTTTGATGTTTTCTCTTGATTGGAAATAAGTTATATATTTTTGGCAAGATGATCATAGATGTGATGTTGTGTTCGCAGCGGATCATGATGTTGATATGATTCACTGCTGTTACGTGGGATTTTGACCTTGATCATTTTTGTTAAGGAGGTGCCTGCTAGGTTTCTTTACTATAAAGTACTTACTGTTTTCACTGTTGTTGATTAGTATCTTGGGGGAGATTGCTCAAGACTATGCAAATCCTGTTTCTTCTTGATTGTTTGCTCACTAATTTTAGCATCCATCAGTGAATCTTATCTGCAAAAATTACTAGTGAGGTGTTTGCTTAACCATGATTTTCTAATTCCCTCTTTCCACCTAATTGCAATTTTACTGTAAGGTAGAGCTGTTCCTTTCTGCTCCTCTTATTTATTGATTCAATTATTTATTTATATCATGAACTCACGAATATTTATTTTATTCCATGGGTAAAAGATGTCATTCTGTTTTTTTGGGTTTTTTGGAGACAGTTTCAAGCTGTCGCCCCAGGTAGAGTACCAAGGTGTCATAGCTACAGCAACCTCCAACCCTTGGGCTCAAGCGATCCTCTTGCCTCAGTATTTTTATTTTTAGTAGAGACAGGGTCTTGCTTTTGCTCAGGCTGGTCTCAAACTTGTGAGCTCAGGCAATCCACCGGCCTAGGCCTCCCAGAGTGCTAGGATTACAGGCGTGAGTCACCTTGACCGGCCTGATGTCATTCTATCATTCTTTATTCCACTACTCAGATTGTCCCAGATTTGGTCTCTGGGAATCTCTTCAAATTGGGTTCTGGGTTTTTTCAACAGCCCCCATCATTTTCAATCACTTCTTCACTTTATGACATCATAAATTATTCCATGCTCATCTTATCCATCCTCCCTTCCTTCCTTCCTTTCTTTTTTCTTGAGACAGAGTCTTACTTTGTCACCCTGGGTAGAATGCTATGGCGTCATAGGTCACAGCAACCTCAAATGCTTGGGTTCAAGTGATCCTCTTGCCTTAGTCTCCTGAGTAGCTGGGTCTACAGACCCCTGCTTCAGGGCCTGGCTACTTTTTCTATTTTTAGCAGAGATGGGGTCCTGCTCTTGCTCATGCTGCTCTTGAATTTCTGAGCTCAAGGAATCCACTTACCTTAGCCTCCCAGAGTGCTAGGATTACAGGTGTGAGCCATCATGCCTGGCACATCTTGTGTATTTCTTGTCTTATCTTTGGAATGAACAGTTTCTCCAATGAGTCCTAGTTTCTTTTATTAGAGAATGGGGTTTTTGTTTTTTTTTTTTGAGACAGAGTCTCAGTATGTCGCCCTTGGTAGAGTGCCACGGTGGCCGTGGCGTCACAGCTCACAGCAACCTCAAACTCTTGGGCTTAAGCGATTCTCTTGCCTCAGCCTCCAAGTAGCTGGGACTATAGGTGCCTGCCACAACACCTGGCTATTTTTTGTTGGCGATATCATTGTTGTTTAGTTGGCCGGGGCCGGGTCTGAACCCACCAGCCATAGTGTTTGTGGCCAGCGCTGTAACCACTGTGCTATGGCCGCCAAGCCGAGAATGGGTATTTAGAAACTAAGATCTGAGTGCTAGGTGAGCTCATGGGGCTGGGTGCTCATGCTAAGGCCTTGTAGGCTTTCTGGACAAACACAGCAACGCAACGTGTGCGTGCATGCTAACGTGCTTACTCACACTATGTATTTCTGCATCCATCTATCTGTTTATATGTTAAATAGCAGGAGATCATGCTGATACCTCTTTTTTCAGCTCCACACCAAGCGTTTATTTTAGTATCATCTTTCCTTATTTGTAACTTCTTTCTCTAACAGTGAGAAACGTGACTCTCACCATCTACAACATACTTACTTGTTTAGCCCTGGCATATACATACAGCAGTTTGCAGAACTGTTTGCTCATATCCCTGGGAGAAGCCTCCAGTGACTAGATGACAGCATTTATGCACAGTTCTTTTTGTCTTTGGCCTTACAGTACCTGGTTAGGACACTGTTTCCCACAGTTATTTTTCTTCCCCATCCCCTTTAGTGTGATTATGTTATTCCTTCTTTTTTGGAGAGGTTAACTCTACCTCTTTGGACAGCAGTTTCTTCATTTTTATTTTATTTAGTTATTTGTTTGTTTATTTATTTATTTTTTGAGACAGAGTCTTACTCTGCTGCCCTGGGTAGAGTGCCATGGTGTCATCATAGCTCACACCAACCTCAAACTCCTGGGCTCAGGTCCTCCTCTTGCCTCAGCCTCCTAAGTAGCTGGGACTATAGGCGCCCACCAGCATGCTAGGCTAATTTTTCTTTTCTTTCTTTCTTTCTTTCTTTTTTTTTTTTTTGAGCAGGGTAGTGCATTGGTGGAATGGGTTCTTGCTCTTGCTCAGGCTGGTCTCAAACTCCTGAGCTCAAGTGATCCGTTCCCCACCCCCCCTTGATCTCCCATATGCGCCCAGCCTATGTTATTCATTTTTTAGTATACTTAGGTCCATTTACTAGTGTTGATATTCCATTTTGGGTTCCCCCACATCCTGGTGTTTTGTTTGGGTGTGTGAAGGACATGGGAATCATATCTATTGTTCCAGGTGTCAGAATCACACAAAAAGATCAACTCAGACAAGTGTCTCTTCTTCATCTCTAATACTCTGTTCCTATTCTCCCTTTTTGCTATCCCATTTTCCACCTATCCTCTATAAGTAATTCATCATCTTATTTTCTGGTATATTTTTCCTTTATATTCTTTTTTTTTTTGAGACAGAGCCTCAAGCTGTCACCCTGGGTAAAGTGCTGTGGTATCATAGCTCACAGCAACCTCCAACTCCTGGGCTCAAGTGATTCTCCTGCCTCTGCCTCCCAAGTAGCTGGGACTACAGGCACCTACCACAATGCTTGGCTATTTTTTGGTTGTAGCTGTCATTGTTTGGCGGGCCCAGGCTGGATTCGAACCTGCCAGCTCAGGTGTATGTGGCTGGTGCCCTAGCCACTTGAGCCACAGGCACAGAGCCATTCTTCCTGTATATTCTTCTGTATATTTCTGGTATATTCTTCTTTTGGGGGAGACAGAGTCCCACTCTGTCACCCTGGGTAGAGTGCCCTGGTGTCATAGCTCATAGCAACCTCAAACTCCTGGACTCAAGCAATTCTCTTGCCTCATCCTCCCTAGCAGCTAGGACTACACGCACCTGCCACAATGCCTGGCTAGCTTTTCTATTTTTGGTAGAGGCGAGGTCTCACTCTTGTTCAGGCTGGTCTCAAACTCCTGAACTTAAGCAGCCCACCCACCTGGGCCTCCCAGAGTGCTAGCCTGTATTTCTTTTGTACAAATGAGTGTATACCTGCATATTTTCCCATATGTCCTTATGTTAAGGCACTCCTGGGCACTTTGCTGTTTTTTTTTTGGTTTAACAATATGTCCTAGAAAAATTTCATAACTGTTCTTAGAGCCTGTTCTTATTTTTTTTTATACCACTGTGTGGATGTTATTCAGTCACTCTCCTACATATGGGCATTTTGGTTGTTTCCCGTGTTTTGCAATTACAAAGAGTGCTGCCGTAAATAACCTCCTGCACGCAGTGCTGGAGGAAGAACCTGTGCTCTTAACATCATGCTGTGCCACAGGGTATTTTTTTAAAGCCTTGATTTCATGGCTAGCATTTAAGAATTTGAAGCTTTCACTTAAAAGTCTGGACCCAGCCCTTTGGGAGGCTGATGCAGGAGGATCATTTGAGTCCAGGAGTTTGAGACCAGCCTGGGCAACACAAGGACACAGCTTATGTATGAAAAATAAAAAATAAGTGGTGCCATGGGCACCTGTAGTCCCAGCTAGAGGGAGGATCACTTGAATCCAGGATTTTGAGGTTGCAGTGAGCTCTGATCACGCTACTGTACTCCAGCGTGGGTGACAGAGCCAGAAACTATTTCTTAAAAAAAAGAACTTTAGGGCGGCGCCTGTGGCTCAAAAGGGTAGGGCGCCAGCCCCATATGCGGAGGTGCCGGGTTAAAACCAACCCTGGCCAAAAAAAAAAATAAAAAAAAGAATTTTAGCCAGGCATTGTGGAGGGTGTCTATAGTCCCAGCCACTAAGGAGGCTGAGACATGAGGGTTGCTTGAACCCCAAGAGTTTGAGGTTGCTGTGAGCTGTGATGTCATAGCACCCTTCTGAGGGCGACGGAGTGAGACTTTGTTTCAAACTCCCACCCCCAATCTGGATTTGCATATACTCCTGGGATATAAAAGTCACTGTGTCAAGATTCATTCTAAAAGTTGATAGATTTGATGGGATTGGGCCTGCTTCCTGCTTGGCGGCTATCACCAGCACTGAGCTATGGCTGTCCCTTGTAGGCAGCGTGGGGTCTGCAGTTTGCTTCGTGCTCTGCCACTGCTTTCCAGCTGGCCCTTGTCCCCCTTTATATTACCTAGCTGGCCTCCAGACGTCTGAGTTGACGACCCTCAGATGGCATCACTTGTGTGCAATGTTCGGCACAAGGCCTGCACACAGTAAATAATGACATTATAATAATATTCATCCCCATGTAAATCCAACCGCAGTAGACGCTGCTCCAAGTGCTTTACTTGTATTTATTCATCTAAGCCTCCTAACAATCTTAAAGGGTCGATACTATTCTTATTCCATTTTACAGACTGGGAAACTGAGGGACAGAGGGATGAAGTGACCTGCCCAAGGAAAGCAGAGTGTGGAAACAGCAGAGTTAGGATTGAACTTGGGCAGCTGTAGAGACTGGGCTTTAACCTGTAAATGTTCCAGAGCCGTGACAGCCGAGGCCCCTCCATGCCTTGCCCAGGCCTCACTGCCCAGGCCCTCCCTGTTCCTTTCTCCCCAGGTGAGCCTGGCTCCATGACTGTAACCTGGACCACATGGGTCCCAACCCGCTCGGAAGTGCAGTTTGGGATGCAGCTGGCGGGGCATCTGCCCCTCCGGGCCCAGGGCACCTTCAGCACTTTTGTGGATGGGGGTGTGCTCCGGAGAAAGTTCTACATCCACCGAGTCACGCTGCGGGGCTTGCTGCCCGGGGCCGAGTACGGTGAGGAGGGTCCCAGGTGAGGGTTTTGAGTGGGAACGGGAAGAGGAGTGGATGAGGACTAGAAATGGCTTGGGCCAGGCTGGAGACTCATCTGCAAGCTTGTTGTATGCCACATTTCCCCCTGATGAAAATGGAAGGTGGACAGAGGGGTATGGGTCAGCCCTGCAAGACTCCCATCTCCTCCCCTCCCCCACTAGAAGAGGATGGGGTGGGGGGAGTGGTCCTGGGGCACCTCAGCTAATGGTGACCCTTTCCTCTTCTCTCAGTGTACCGCTGTGGCAGTGCCCAGGGCTGGAGCCGTCGGTTCCGCTTCAGAGCCCTTAAGAATGGGGTGCACTGGAGCCCCCGTCTGGCTGTGTATGGGGACCTGGGAGCTGACAACCCGAAGGCCCTGCCCAGGCTGCGCAGGGACACCCTGCAGGGCATGTACGATGCCGTTCTCCATGTGGGTGAGGCATCAGCAAGATTGTGCCTGGAGTGGGGGAAGCATGGATGGGAGGCAGTGCCAGGACAGCGGAGGGGACAGGGCAGGGGCCAGCACGTCTCTGGCTAACCAGCCTGTCCAGGCTAAAATTCTAACTCCTGCTCTTATTGCCATGGGCTCTGGTTTCCCCCTGCATATTATTATTATCCCAGGTAAAGCTAGCTTTGAATTCCCAGGATTGTCACAGTGACTGCCTGGAAGGGCATAAGTGCTTTGTAAGCACTGGCTATTGTCATTATTGTTGCTGCTGCCGCTGTTAACTGGAGGGGACAGAGAAATAGCTGGGACTGGGACCTGTGCAGTTCGAAGGGCAAACTCCTTGTTTTATTCCTGGACCTTCACTAACCAGCTCTGTGACCTGAGGCCTCAGTTTCTCCATCTGAACTGGGGATAATCCCCCTCAGAGGGAGTTTCGAAGTTTTGGGTGATCGCATATGTCAGGCATTTGGAACTATGGCTGGTACAAAATCAGTACTGGGGTCTCCCACAGTTAATGTTCTGGGAGGGGACAAGGTGTTAGACAGAGATGGGGGCTGGTGTGCTCAGAGCACAGGAGACAACGTGGCCCTGAGGGGTCCCAGGGACCAGAGGTGGCATGAGCACATGGGAGTGAGTGTGAGGCAGGGACTGGGAGCCAGGGCAGCCCAGAGGCCAGGGTTACCTCCACTTCAGCAACCAGCTCTCTCAATTCTGGTGAAAGTAGAGCCCGATTTGGGCCTCACTCTCCTGCCTCCCGCCCCGCCCCCAGGAGACTTTGCCTACAACATGGATCAGGACAACGCCCGTGTTGGGGACAGGTTCATGCGGCTCATTGAGCCCGTGGCCGCCAGCCTGCCGTACATGACATGCCCTGGGAATCATGAAGAACGATAGTGAGGACCGAGGGCTGAGGGGGAGGTGAGGGCTGGATTGGTTGTGTCCTCAAAATGGTTGTGTCTGTCCTTCTCACTGTCTCCCCTCAGTCCCTCATACTGTGGCATCTCTCTTCATCTCTCCCCTCCCCCTTTTTTTGAGGCAGAATCTCACTATGTCGTCCTGGGTAGAGTGCTGTGGCATCACAGCTCACAGCAACCTCAAACTCTCAGGCTCAAGCAATTCTCTTGCCTCACTATAATGCCCACCTATTTTTAGAGACTGGGTCTTGCTCTGGCTCAGACTAGTCTTGAACCTGTGAGCTCAGGCAATCCACCCACCTCAGCCTCCAAAGTGCAGGGATTACAGGAATGAGCCACCATACCCAGCCCTTATTTTTTTTTTTTTTTTTTTGAGACAGCCACCATACCCAGCCCTTTTTTTTCTTCTCTGTTGCCCAACTAAAGTCAGCTTGAATGCAGTGGTATTATCATAGCTTACTGAAACCTTAAAATTCTGGATTCAAGGCTCAGCACCGAAGCACAGTGGTTATGGCACCAGCCACATGCACCGGACTTGGTGCCACCAAGCCAGACCCAGGCCAGTTAAAACCACAATGACAACTGCAACAAGAAGATAGCTTAACATCGTGGCAGGCACCTGTTCCAGCTGCTTGGGAGGCGGAGGCAGTAGAATCACTTAAACCCAAGAGTTTGAGGTTGCTGTGAGCTGTGATGCCACGGCACTCTACCGAGGGCAACAAAGTGAAACTCTGTCTCAAAAAAAAAAAAAAAAAAACCAAACTCTGGGTTCAAGCAATCCTCCTGCCTTAGCCTCCTACCTGTAGCTGGGACAACAGGTGCCCGCCAGCATGCCTGGCTAATTTTTCTACTTTTAGTAGAGACAAAGTCTTGCTCTTGCTTGGGACCTCCCAGAGTGCTGGGACTCCTGGCCCTATGGAGTCTCTTTGTGATAGCAGTAAGAGAGGGGGTTTGGGTGCTGGGAGCCAGCCCTGGCTGGGCCTGACCGCCCAGCCCCTCACCCTCTCCCTTTTACTTTCTTTTTCCAGCAACTTCTCTAACTATAAGGCTCGGTTCAGCATGCCAGGAGACAACGAAGGCCTGTGGTACAGGTACTCAGGGGTACTGGGAGCCTGGCCTGTCTCCCTTGAAGGAGGGGAGATGCAGAGACCCCATCTCTGACACCTGTCTTTTGATCCCTCTAGCTGGGATCTGGGTCCGGCCCACATCATCTCCTTCTCCACTGAGGTGTATTTCTTTCTCCATTATGGCCGCCACCTGGTAGAGAAGCAGTTTCACTGGCTGGAGAGTGACCTCCAGGTAACCTAGTAGGAGTCCCCTTCTATCCCTAACCCATCCCTCCACCCAGCCCTGCCCCTCACCTGGGCTCTTCTCTCCAGAAAGCCAATAAGAACCGGGTAGCCCGGCCCTGGATCATCACCATGGGCCACCGGCCCATGTACTGCTCCAACGCAGACTTAGATGACTGCACGTGGCACGAGAGCAAGGTGAGGACCCCCTTCTGGTTAGCAGGGTAGGGGCGAGGAGAGCCAGGTAGGGGGTTGACCTGAGTCACCCTCACCTGCTTGTTTGTCCTGCCCAGGTCCGCAAAGGCCTCCACGGCAAGCTGTTTGGGCTGGAGGATCTTTTCTACAAATATGGTGAGTGACCCCTGGGATGGCCCAGCCCACACCCCATCTCTCCCAGCCCAAGGGCCTGACCCCACCTGCTCTTGTCTCAGGAGTGGACCTGCAGCTGTGGGCTCACGAACACTCCTATGAACGACTGTGGCCGATTTACAACTATCAGGTAAGGCACATGGGCCCAGGCGCCTACAAGGCTGGTGCCAATTTTGTCGGAAGCCCTGGACATGGCCTGCTGTGACCTCCACACACACTTTCCCCCCTTCTCCAGGTATTTAATGGCAGCCAAGAGACGCCCTACACCCACCCACGAGGCCCTGTCCACATCATCACAGGCTCTGCGGTGAGCAGCGGGGGTGGTGCCTTTGACTTCTCTCATTATTAATCCAGGGCTGACCTTGTTCCAGCCTGGTGCCACATGCTTCATATTTTGATGTCACTTAATCTTCAGCTCTAAGGTTAGGTACTCCTAGGAGTATGGCCACTGTACAGATGCAGGATCAGAGGCTTAGAAAAAATACCTGCCCATCATCTCAGGTCGAATAAGTGGCAGGGGTCCAGGCACGGTGGCTCATGCCTGTAATTCTAGCAGTATGGGAACCGAGGCCAGTGGATTGCTTGAGCTCAGGAGTTTGAGACCACTTGAGCAAGAGCAAGACCCCTGTCTCTACTAACAATAGAAGAAATTAGCTGGGTGTTGTGGCAGGCACCTGTAGCCCCAGCTATTCTAAAAGCTGAGGCAAGAGGATTGCTTAAGCCCAAGAGTTTGAAGTTGCTGTGAGCTATGATACTATGGCACTCTACCCAGGGCGACGGAGTGAGACTCTGTCTCAGAAAAAAAAAAATGTGGCATGGGTTGGGTTTCCTCCATTTAAAGTTACTCTGGTTCCCGTTTAATTCACAACCATCTTAGGGGAGATCCTTTCAGACCACGCAAATGTCTTGTTTCTCCTCAAACTTTCACCCCTTAATTTTAGCACCCATTAGTGGGTTTCTTGCCTGCAATAGCTATCACTGCAGTGTTCTAATGCTAATGGGGATTCCCTTATTCTCTCAGGATTTATTAATTGCAATCCTCCTGTAAGGGAGAGTTGTGCCTTCTGCCCCTTTGTTTAGTTGGTTAACTATTTATTTATGTCAGTGTGGATTCATGGATAATTGATTTTATTCTGCGGGTTATAAACCAACACTACTGTTATTTATTCAGATGCTCTAGCCAGTAGCAGCCGTCAGGTGGGCTGTCAGGTGGGACATGTCCCCATTATTTTGTGATCATCTTCCTACTCCTGGGTTCTCCAAATTGCTCTAGGATCATCTTTTGTTTTCCCTGCCCAACCTTGCTATCAGCTCCTTCTCCAAGGAGACAAGGTTTAGTTTTTAAAGCTGATCCATACAAATTATTAAGATCAAAAGAAGAGCCACTCCTGATAAAAATTCAAACAGTGTAGAGGGCAGAAGGAGAATAGCAGCCGCCCACGCCGCTTCTGCCCCTGCTCTCTGTGTTACCTCTCTAGGCTGGCATTCTGCAGTGTGCTGTGCTCCTGCAAGGGAATGATTGTCTGGACAGAGATGGGTTACTGTAGCACCTACTTATAAAAAGTGACATGGGGCTGGGCACAGTGGCTC